TTGGGGTTAATTATGACGGATTTATTTAGTCCCCATTTTATGTTAAGGAATGTTGAGTCCTAGTTACACTGTTTTGGGGCTTTTAAAAGTTCACGTTTTTCCTTACAGAATGAGGAAGACGTGATGAAAGGCAGCACTAGAAACCCCACTTCTTCGATGCAGGTTGGAGCATTAATTAACCTGACCTAAAAGTGAAAGTGAAGTAGATTATTAATAGAATGGACAAGAGAAAAAATAGAAACTCTTCAAAAGGGTTTTCTGGAGACCGAGGGAATTGTTGCCTCCTATCATATCAGGTTGTAGCATTCTTTACAGACAAACCCTTGCAGTATTTGGATAGGAGGATGCTTTAGGGAATGGGGCAGGAGAAAATGCATAATATTTTTCTCCATGAGAAATGTGGAAGAAATAGGGTTTGGAGTTATCTGTACATTAAAATGGATTCTTTGCAGTGTTGTTTTTTTTTTTATGCATTTGACATGATTTTGTGTATGTGATTTTTTTGCATGAACATTACGGGGATTTTAGACTGTGCAGGATGTTGGCGTTTTCCTTTAATTCTAAGAAATGACTTGATATTTTGAGTTTGGTTCTTTTGAATCTTTGACATTAGGGAAAAGAGATTCAATAAAATTAATAATTGCAGCAAATCCCTTAAATGTTGCAAGTGAATGTGGCATTTTGCAACTAGCCTGCAAATTTTTAGAGAGCAAGAGACAGCATTTATTTTTGATATAGGGATTTTAAGTGGAGCAGGTCTGGGGCTCTGTTTTCCTGGAGGGAAATAACCTTACTTTGGAGGGGTTTTAAAACCAGAGAGAGAGATTGTGCATGCGGGATAGCTTGGAACACATTAACCTCGACCGGAAAATGACCATTTGTTGGTTGTGGAATTGAAATTGAGCATGTTTGTTCCCGAATGTCTGCCCTTTCCCGCACCAGAGCCTCAATCTTTAATTCATGGCTGGGAGCTGTCCCAAATCATTGACATTTGGCAACAAAAGTGGGGGTTGGGAAGGGACGAGGATGGAGAGGGTGGTGAACGCAAATGAAGACACGCGGGAGGAAGTTTGAAATGAATGAGAGGTCGAACGAATGAATGAACGGATGGAAAAGGCACAAGACGCGGACACCGGAGAGGAGAGGAAAGGAGCCCAGGTCGCCCGCCCGAGCCTCGCTGAAGCCGGGTTCAGGAAGGACAGCGAGGGTCGCACGGGCTGTGACCTGCTCGGATGCATGAGCTTCAAAACACGTCCCGCGCGCAAGCTCCGGTCTTCCCACAGCGAACTAGGGACGAAGCAGTTATAGTTGCAAAAAAAAAAAAAAAAAAAAACTCAGAAATTTTCACGGCTTCTTATTTTACACACGCATTCACTCACACATGCGCGGTGTGGAGGGTCTTCTCCTCCAGCAGCGCCCGCAAAGATAACGTGACAGGAGCGCTTCCCGCCCCCCGGCGAGCCCCCAATTCCCCCTTTTCCCCCTTTAAAATATTGTCAGTGCGTCTTAGGGACTACTTCTTCGCCACTGAGTTTTGGGGGTGGGGGTAAAGGGTAAGGAGAGACGGGGAGCTGGGTGGGGGAGGGGAAGAGGGACTGTATTTTACTTCGTTTTGGAGCTGCAAAGCTGCATTTGTGGCATGCATTATGGAGGAGGATGTGTAGGGTTCATTTCATTGTGACCGCATTCTAGTAGAACAAAGATTCGTTTTTTCTACCTCAGTGTTCTTTTTGATACTGCAGTCGCAAGGGCTTTTAATATTTCTCGGGGATGGGGGGGAGGGAGATTCATGAAGGTTTACGTATCTGCCCGAGCCGAGGTCGAAGTTAACCTTAGTCCCTTCCCCGGCGCTTCCCGTTCCGGATTAGAAAGCGCAAGGCCCGCCTCGCTCTTCCTGCAGCAATTTGCAAACGGGGAGCTCTCGGAGGCTGCTGCAGGTTCGGTCACCTTCCCTCTTGTCTGCGTCTGGCCCGGCTCTCGGGGACCAGCGGCTGGGGGTGGTGGGGGCAGCGAGGTGTATGGTCCTCTTTGGAGACATTCACATACAAGCCCTGGAGACCAGAACACGGCCCAGGAAGGAGCCAGCGCTCTGGGTCGCGGGTACTGGAGGCCGATTTCCATTCTGAGAAGATTCGCCCCTTCCCTCTGCTCCCCTAGCCCCAACCGCGCGGATCAAAGGTTCATGCGCCCCTCCTGGTCCCCTCGCGTGCTTTTGGCCGAACGCCAGCGAACGTTTAGCCTGTTTCGTTGGCCTTGGGGTGGAGAGAAATGGCCTTGGCAATGGCAGTCCGGCGCCGTGGGGTTTGACCGCCCGAGGCCAGGACAGAGGACTTTGGTGCCTCTTGGGTTACCTCCCTTCCCCCTCCTCCCCTAGTCCCGGCCGCTATCCCGCCCCGCCTCGCCCCCTGGAGGGAACCCAGAGCTAGAGGCCTAGAGCCCAGGGCGACGGCCACCTGGGCCCTTCAAGGTTGGGGCCTGGAGAGAAAAGGTCCCACCCGCTGCAGGCGGATTGGTGGCTGGTTTTTCGGGATGTGTGGGGCGCTGAGCCGCGGACAGAGTTTCACGGATTTGGCCCCCGCGGAGGTAACCCGGGGTCACCCGTGCCAACACAGCCGTGACTCTGCCCGGCCCTGAGTGCCCCGACCACTCATCACCCCCGCCCAGTCTCCGGACACCAGGCTGCTCTTTCTCCAGTGGGGAGGGGAGGCTGCGTGCGAGGATCGCACTCGGAACACATACTCCACTGTAGGCAATCAGTTTTATAATGAAACAATCCATTTTGATGGCTGCTGCTGGCTTCCGGAGACTTTATTAATTTAGTCATTTAGCAGTGTTTGCTGAGCACCCAACCAAGCATGGGGAGCTGGCCCGAGGCTTTCTCGCACGACATGGCCTGAGGTTCAGCTGCGTGGCCCCACGCTTTCCCGCCTCCTCACCCCTTCCTGGCCCCCGCACTCTGCTGTCGTTACCCCCTCTGTCACCTCAGAAATGCAAGATCGCACTTCGAGAGCCAGCACGGACTTGCTGGGGAAGTGTTGGGAAACGAAGGAGGGAGTGAGGAGAAAGAGAGAAATAAAGGAGACGGGGGAGGTGAGAAGAGGGGGCGATGGAAACAGAAAAAGATGCAGAGCGAGATGCGGGAGGGGGCTGCGGGAAAGGAATGGACTCGCCTCCCCCTCCCGCACCAGCTCACACGGAGACGGTCGGCACAAGTCTGTAGTTGGGGGCGGGTCAGTCCCTCTTGGGCCACATCTTGCCTTCACCTTTAACACTGGCGCCCCGCGAGGCTGGGCGTCGCGTCCGGGGCTGGCGGGCCGCGGGGATGCAGGGCAGGGTCGCGACGCTGCTGACCGGTGTCCCCTCCTCCCCGCAGCGTACCTGGTGCAGGCCGTGAGAGCAGCGGGCAAGTGCGATGCGGTCTTTAAGGGCTTTTCGGACTGTTTGCTCAAGCTGGGCGACAGCATGGCCAACTACCCGCAGGGCCTGGACGACAAGACAAACATCAAGACCGTGTGCACGTAAGTGTCCTCTTTGGCCTGCTGGGTTTCTGTTCTGGGGGGCGCTGCTGAGGTCGGTGAGGGCTTGCCTGCGGGCCTGCGCTCTGAATTCCTCGCCAGCGCCAATCAGTGCGTGCTGGGCTTTGGACTCTCGCCCTCAGGCCTCGGCCAGGGTCTGCACTGCCCAAGGGGATCCTGTGGCCTGAGATGGGCAGAGGAGGATCCTCCCACGCGGGAGCCAGGTCCAGCCCTGTGCATCCTCACCCACACCCACAGAGGCGCGGGCACTCAGGGCACTGGAACCAGGAGCGAGGGGCAGAGAGAACTGCTAGCAGTTCCTCGCTCTACTTTAAGGCAGTCTTCATCATTCTTTTTTTTTTTTTTCCCTGCGTGAATAAGTGGACTGCTGTGTACTCTCCGAAGAACAGTTGGTTTTGGTTTGAGGAGCGTTTTAGGAAATACTAGCTTTGCATAAAGGAAAAGTCAAAGTCACTGGCTTGTTGTCCATTTCCCCTGATAAAACCCCCTTGCACTACACACCAAGAACATTCAGGGGTAGGCAAGGGACCGCGGGTCCCTCTTTCTCTTTCTAAGAGAGAAGCTGAAAGAATATTTTGTTTTGTGCCAATGATTTTGCCCAAGAAAAGTATGTCCTGGGCATCCACTGACCATCTCTGCTGAGTTTGTGGCAGATTAGAGGCTTGGGAGAGCCACCCCCCTTGCCCGCCCCCCTTCCTCTCTGCATTCACTGGGTATCCCTAGGCCATGGCAGCTAAGGGCTAGGAAGGAGTTCCTGGCCAGGTACAGGGGCTTTTCCCAGCGCTTGGCTGAAAAGCACTGCTCCCACTAGCAAAGGAAGTAACTAGCAGAGAGCCCTACGGTAGTAGACCAGCGACATTTTAGTTGCTGTGGACCTTAGAAGTACCTCCATCCTCTAGCAACACACACACACACACACACACACACAGACTTCTTTTATTTTACTTCATTTTATTTTTCACAAAGAGCTGTAACTCCCACCACTCACCCAATAATGGCCCTTACCAAAAAGCCAAGGCAAGAGGTGTTCCTTGTTCCCCATAGGCTGATGAAACCATATTCTGCACCATCCTTTGTATACAGGGAAGTCCTTGTTCTCTCCCTAATTCCTGGGGAGGGGGTGTTTATTTGTTTAAATAATGAGTAATTAAATGGGGGTCAATTTTGCCACACACTTTCCTAAATACCCCGGTGTCCATCAAAAGCCACAGCAGTAGGTAGCTGGTACCTTCCTATCAGAAAAGGGACAAAAGGCTAGATCTGGGTTGCATATCCACCTACTTTAATTCCAAATGTCTGATGATAGGTAAGAATGTATCTATATGAAGCTTGACAAAAGGTTAGATATTGATTGGCTCCCAAACCTTCTATTATTTGCCAGAATTCAGTTATTCCAAGTTTTTAAAATTTTTTTAGCAGGACCTGGTCCTGGAGGATAGAAGTGAGGAGGACCCCGCCCCCCCGAGGCTGCAGGCCACTGCTGGGTCTGGGCTCCCACTTCATTAATGGTACTGGTTGCTCAACATTCTGCTGAAGCCCATCCTCTCCGTTCCATGTGGATATCTGTCCTTTTTCACCATATTCCTCTTCCAGGAGGGTCCTGTCCCCATCTGGGCATGCATAAAGAAAGAAGAGATTTAGATATCCTTTGGGAGGTGCAGTGACAGCAGAGAGCTGTCCCTCCGCCTCTTAGTTTCTCTAAATCTTGCTATTTATTATGAATTGAGGAACCTGGAAGCCCTGTGCTCCAGGCTTCCCAGTCCTCATAAATTAGAGACTCACAAAGGTCGTTAGAAAACAGCCAGAGCTCAAGGCAATCCAACAGGCATTTATATCTTTGCTATTAGCCAGAGGATGGGGTGGGAGTGGAAACAAGGATAAATCAAACATGGTGCTTGCCTTCAACGTACTTACAGTCCAGGCTAGCGAGCAGAAGGGAGAGATAGGAGAAAATACAACCAGCTTGCGTGGAGGGCGGTCGCTAGTGACCCGGCGCTAAAGGCCCTTGGGTGAAGTGGGAGCCAGCCCGGAGTTACCGAGACGCGCAGATCGACCCAGCACCGAAAGGAGACAGCGCCCCAGGAATCGATCACGGGTTGGAATTATATTTAGTCTCGGGATCTATTTCGGGTTTTCGGAAGAAAGGGGGACAATAAAAAAGGACAGGTTGGTTGAAGGTTGTGGGGGCGGGGCTACGAGCTGAGCCCAGGGGGAGGAAGTGGCTGAGGAAGAAGGCGCGGGGCTCCGTGAAGAGGCGGGGGAGCGAGGACGAGGAGCGGAGTCCCTGGAAGGCTGGCAGCGGTGGGCACCGCGGTGGCACCGGAGTCCCGGCCTGGCGGGCTGCACACTACACCCGGAAGGCCGTGGGGAGGAGGCTGCATGGGGTCCAAGTCCACGAATGACTCTGGAGGGGGAGAAGAGGAGGGACCGAGCGCGCAGGGCCGAGAGCACTGGGATTTGCAAAGCAGAAGGTGGCTACAGAGCTGGGCCCAGGGCACCGACACTCACCAACTCGGGGAGGAGAGAGGCAGGCAGGAGTCTCCGGACCGAATCTGAGCCGGGGGGACTGTGGAGAGCGAGGCCAGGGGCCACGGAGGGCCGAAGAGGAGGGGGAGAGGAGGAGGAAGAGGAAGTGAGGAACCGAACAGAGGAAAACCGAGGGGAGGGAAAAGGAGGAAGACAAAGAAGGGAAGAGGAAAGGATGGGAAAATCGGAGAACGGGAAACAAAAGGAAGGGAGGAGGGAGAGTGCGGGCGAAGGCGAGAGAGTACCGCAGAGAGGAGGGGGGGGGGACACAGAAGGGACGAGGGGGAGGAGAAAGTGAGAAGCCAAGAGGGGAGGGCCGTGCTCTGAGCAAGTAACCCATCTTGCAAGCTAAGAGGCATTAATGGGCGGCAGCTTGCAAGGCTTAGCACTGTTTTCCTAGCTTTCCCCGAGGAGGACGAGCAATCTGTTTGCGCAGGCCGAGGTGCCAGCGCCCCGCAGCGGGTGCGGCCCGGCTCCCGGCTGCCGGGTCCCCGCCCGGGAGCGGGAAAGAGAAACCAGACGCCGCAGGGGGCGGCCTCTGCCCTCGGACGACGGCTTCCAGGGTGGGCCGAGGTCTGGCGAGGACCAGCCTAGCTGGACCCCGGCGCCAGGCGGGTGGAGAGGAGGTGGGGTGGCTGCCGGAGCGGTTTGCGAAGGCCGCGAGGCGGGGGAGGCGCAGGGGTGCAGGCCCGGGTCCTCCCCGCGCTCAAAGTCAACCTGCTTCTTCCGTTTTGTTCTGTTCCTCGCCAGATACTGGGAGGATTTCCACAGCTGCACGGTCACAGCCCTTACGGATTGCCAGGAAGGGGCGAAAGATATGTGGGATAAACTGAGAAAAGAATCCAAAAACCTCAACATCCAAGGCAGCTTATTCGAACTCTGCGGCAGCGGCAACGGGGCGGCGGGGTCCCTGCTCCCGGCGCTCCCCGTGCTCCTGGTGTCTCTCTCGGCAGCTTTAGCGACTTGGCTTTCCTTCTGAGCGCGGGGCCGGCTCCCCCCGCGCGCCCACCCACACTCACTCCATGCTCCCGGAAATCGAGAGGAAGATCCATTCGTTCTTTGGGGACGTTGTGATTCTCTGTGATGCTGAAAACACTCATATAGGATTGTGGGAAATCCTGATTCTCCTTTTGATTTCGTTTGATTTCTTGTGTTTCATTTGCCAAACGTTACCAATCAGTGAGCAAGCAAGCACAGCCAAAATCGGACCTCAGCTTTAGTCGGTCTTCACACAAAAATAAGAAAACGGCAAACCCACCCCATATTTTTTTTAATTTTTAATTTTTATTTTTGGCACAAGAATCTCAGGAACGGCCCTGGGCCACCTACTATATTAATCATGTTAATACATGACAAATGATGGGCTCCTCCTAATAAGAAAGAGAGGAGAGGAGAAGGCCAGGGGAATGAATTCAAGAGAGATGTCCACGAGGAAAGCATATGGTGAATAACTCACGCTCACGTCTTTCTTCCACAGTATCTTGTTTTGATCATTTTCACTGCACATTTCTCCTCGAGGAAAGTGAAAGGACAGATTGTTGGCTTTGTGGTTTAAGGATAGGAGGGAGAGAGGGAAGGGATTGAGGAAATCTCGGGTGTCTAGGTAAAGGCTTCCAGAAGAATCGCTGCTAAAGTCACTGAGAGGTTAAGCTTTACCTGCTGTTGTCGATGCATCTTTCCAAGTCCACTGCCTTTATTTTCCCTCTTGTTTTAGCTGTTACACATACTGTAATACCTGAATATCCAACGGTATAGATCACAAGGGGGGGGGTGTTAAATGTTAATCTAAAATATAGTTAAAAAAAGATTTTGACATAAAAGAGCCTTGATTTTAAAAAAAAAAAGAGAGAGAGATGTAATTTAAAAAGTTTATTATAAATTAAATTCAGCAAAAAAAAGATTTGCTACAAAGTATAGAGAAGTATAAAATAAAAGTTATTGTTTGAAATGGGGGTGTCGTTTGTTTCCTGCCCCAAGCCTGCTTTCTTGCCCCAGTGCCCGGGTTACCCGTAGGGACAAGTGATGCCGCAGGATACATGCACCTGTTCGCAAGCCAGTTGATAACCTACCATCTTCAAGCAGACCCTTTTCAACTAGGTCATTTTGCCACTTTTCCGAAATTCTGTTTACTTAAAGAAAAGAAAGAGGAAGTTGTATTTTTAATAAATAAAAAGCAGAGATCTTTTCTAGGTGAGGTTTCGGGGAATTGGGGTTTCGCGAGAAAACACACGCAGACCCAAGGCCGGTGCCCAGCCTGCGGCCCCCGCCCCAGGCGGTCGGAGCCCTAACCACGATCCGTGCAGGCCGAGTCCTAACCACGATTCGCCTTTTCCTCTGCGGTGGCCGGAGGCAGCTTGCGAACGAACCGCCATTAAGGGCTCTAGCAGAGGGGCCAAGGAGAGACTGTGGTCCCTGGCAGGGATCGGGTGAATCCTTTCATAATTAATAAGACAGCTCAGCTGAAATGGCGAGGAGACGGGGCCCCATTGATCTGGCAGTCAGCTGCTTCCACCTCTCCTATTTATAGGCCCCGCATGGCCTTACGGAGAAGTAAACATTCGAGAGTAAACACCAGCAGAGGAGACCGGGGTCCAAGGCCACAGGAATTGGAGCAGGCTGCGGGAGGGAGAACCGAGCGTACGTCTCTGGGTTCAAGGAAATCGAAATCTGATTTCTAGGAGAAGGTGAGGGTGGGAGGAAGCTGCCGGAGGCGGGCGGGGTGGAGGACTGGTGGAGGGAGGCCCCGGAGGCTGCGGCGGGTTCCCGCGCGGGGGAGCGAGTGGGCCGCCGCCCGGAGGGTACGCTGGGGCTCTGAAATGCAATGTGTAAACAATCGCTAGAGTAACAGTTCATAAATCAAACCCAGTAGGTCGCAGCCCAATCTGCATTCCCCCCACGGATTGAATTCTAGCAACACATGCGTCCCTGCGCCCCGAGCGCTAGAAGCTGCCCGGATTCTTAATGGCAGCATATATTACCGCGGCCAGTTCACGCACGCGCCGCGCCCGGCCACTCCTGGGAACAGTTTCACCCGCCACCCCCCTACCCAGCCCCTCCTCCGTCGATCCCCTATTCTCAGCCAAAAGCAAAGGAGATCCTCCCTGCCTGCGCGGAGTGGGCACCCACAGGGAACGTTGGTTGTTTTGGAAAATAGCGTTTGGTCTTGATCATTTCGTTTCAGTGGTTATTTTCGGTCCAAGTATAAGTAGAATGATTCTACCCCGAGCTCAATCCCTGGAATTCAAATTAAAATGTCTGAGCCTGTTTTAAATACGAATCTATTTAATGAGGGGGAGGAGAACAGTGGAAAGAGGGAGGGTCTTCTATCATTTTTGCCAGGAGAGCTCGCCGCCTCCTGTCGGTATCTTTCCCAAGGAAACCTGGGGGCGAACCGGCGCACACAACTGGGCCCCTTGCTAGCCAAAGGAAAACGCACGCATCGCTCTCCCCAGGCTTTGGGGGAGGGAAGCATCCGCCACACACGGAGGATGCCCCTCCCCTAGCAGCGCGGATTTCCCACCTGGAAATCTGTCTCCTTCGAGATCTGGGAGGAGGCGAGGCTGAGGGAGGAGACCGAGGCGACGGGGCGGGGAGGATTGGGAACGCGGGCTTGTTTGCTCTCCCAACAAGGTTCTTCTCAAGGAACCCCGTCCTCCTGCGGCTCCAACTGCCTCTCCAGAGGGAGGGCGCTCCACCGCCCTGTCCCAGGTCGTCCTGGGGGTGCCTCGAGAAAGCTTGGTGCCCACCGTGTTGGGGGCTCCTTTGCCCTGTCCTAAGCCGGCACCACCAGCACGTGCGCTCGGGAGGAGCCCCAGGATTGGGAACGCGAGTCTCGGAAACACAGGCTGCGGCATCTGGCTCGTCAGAGAACATCTCTTCCTGTTGTGGTGATTGTTTAGATTATTATCGCGCCGTCTTCGACTATAATTTGCTGTTTAATCATGATGACATCTCCATATGTTAGTTGTTGTTTTTAAGCAGCAACGCAGTAAGCCCTGTTCCCAGCTCAGTGAGATATTAACCAGGGTGCGCACACCCCTCACCCAGATGGGGGTGGGGAACCGAGTGGGTTTCGGGCACCAAGGAAATGGTCATACCAACATCCACCTCTCCCAGCAGCTTCCCTTGCTCTTGCACGGCCCATTGCCATGTGGCCCACCGGCGCTGGCTCTGAGCCTCTGAGAACTTGTTGGGATTGCCGAAGCGCCCTCCTTCACTCCACTCCCTGCCCAAGTAGATACAAGACACAGAAGTTCACTTGAGTGCAATATTTGGTTATCCTCGTGAAAATATCAGAGAGGTCAGCTCCAGAGCCCTTGGGAAGGGGAAGTAGAGGGAACAAGGAGACGGCAAGAGAAGGAAGACCTGAAAAATGGGGATGCAGAGGAAGATGGGGAAAACATCCAGAAATAGAGTCAGCAGAGGGGAGAGAGGGAGGCGAACTTCTTAAACACAGACAGAGATGATGGAAAGACTTCGAGTTGGAGATGGTAGAGTTGCGGAGGCATGAAGGATAGAGAAGAAATTGGGACTGATTTTCGTTCAGGACTCTCAGAGAAGCAAATGCGCACAAGGACCACCGTGCAGATTCTCTTTATGTGGATCCAGAGATGCTTTCACTCCAGCTGGAGCCTCAAGCATAGTGCCACAGTCATCACAGAGCCTCGAGCCTGTGGGCTAGGCAGGCCTGAGGGAGGTGCGTGGCAGGCGAGAGCACCAGCCCCCTCCACACGCCAGAGCGCGTCCCTGGAGAAATCAGATGGCTGAGAGGAGAGGAAGCCTTTCCTTCTTTCCTCCTTTCCCCCTCTACCCCTTCCCCCCTTCCTGAAACTCCTTCAGATCCAGGCAGGGCTGCTTCTGGGAAGGTCTCCAAACCTTCTCTCCCTCTCCCACTCCCCTGCACACACAAGGCTCTGTGCACGGCAGCTCCAGGCTGGGCGCCAGCAGTCCTGGAAGCATCCACTCTCTGGAACAGTCTACTGCCGGGTCCCGTGCGACCAGAGAAAAGGTCCACTTGTCTCACCGCTCTAAAACGTTGCTTCCCTCCTCCCTTGCCCCTACTGGGAAAATAAAGTGGGGACGGGG